CTGACTCTATCCACTGTCCTCTCTCTCTCTGGTTTCTGACTCTATCCACTGTCCTCTCTCTCTGGTTTCTGACTCTATCCACTGTCCTCTCTCTCTCTGGTTTCAGACTCTATCCACTGTCCTCTCTCTCTCTGGTTTCTGACTCTATCCACTGTCCTCTCTCTCTGGTTTCTGACTCTATCCACTGTCCTCTCTCTCTCTGGTTTCAGACTCTATCCACTGTCCTCTCTCTCTGGTTTCTGACTCTATCCACTGTCCTCTCTCTCTCTGGTTTCTGACTCTATCCACTGTCCTCTCTCTCTCTGGTTTCAGACTCTATCCACTGTCCTCTCTCTCTCTGGTTTCAGACTCTATCCACTGTCCTCTCTCTCTGGTTTCAGACTCTCTCCACTGTCCTCTCTCTCTCTGGTTTCAGACTCTATCCACTGTCCTCTCTCTCTCTGGTTTCAGACTCTATCCACTGTCCTCTCTCTCTGGTTTCAGACTCTATCCACTGTCCTCTCTCTCTCTGGTTTCTGACTCTATCCACTGTCCTCTCTCTCTCTCTGGTTTCTGACTCTATCCACTGTCCTCTCTCTCTCTCTGGTTTCAGACTCTATCCACTGTCCTCTCTCTCTGGTTTCAGACTCTATCCACTGTCCTCTCTCTCTGGTTTCAGACTCTATCCACTGTCCTCTCTCTCTCTCTGGTTTCAGACTCTATCCACTGTCCTCTCTCTCTCTCTGGTTTCACTCTATCCACTGTCCTCTCTCTCTCTCTGGTTTCAGACTCTATCCACTGTCCTCTCTCTCTCTGGTTTCTGACTCTATCCACTGTCCTCTCTCTCTCTGGTTTCTGACTCTATCCACTGTCCTCTCTCTCTCTCTGGTTTCAGACTCTATCCACTGTCCTCTCTCTCTGGTTTCAGACTCTATCCACTGTCCTCTCTCTCTCTGGTTTCGACTCTATCCACTGTCCTCTCTCTCTCTGGTTTCTGACTCTATCCACTGTCCTCTCTCTCTGGTTTCTGACTCTATCCACTGTCCTCTCTCTCTCTGGTTTCTGACTCTATCCACTGTCCTCTCTCTCTCTGGTTTCAGACTCTATCCACTGTCCTCTCTCTCTGGTTTCTGACTCTATCCACTGTCCTCTCTCTCTCTCTGGTTTCAGACTCTATCCACTGTCCTCTCTCTCTCTGGTTTCAGACTCTATCCACTGTCCTCTCTCTCTCTCTCTGGTTTCTGACTCTATCCACTGTCCTCTCTCTCTCTGGTTTCTGACTCTATCCACTGTCCTCTCTCTCTCTGGTTTCTGACTCTATCCACTGTCCTCTCTCTCTCTGGTTTCAGACTCTATCCACTGTCCTCTCTCTCTCTGGTTTCTGACTCTATCCACTGTCCTCTCTCTCTCTGGTTTCAGACTCTATCCACTGTCCTCTCTCTCTCTGGTTTCTGACTCTATCCACTGTCCTCTCTCTCTCTGGTTTCACTCTATCCACTGTCCTCTCTCTCTCTGGTTTCAGACTCTATCCACTGTCCTCTCTCTCTCTGGTTTCTGACTCTATCCACTGTCCTCTCTCTCTCTGGTTTCTGACTCTATCCACTGTCCTCTCTCTCTCTGGTTTCAGACTCTATCCACTGTCCTCTCTCTCTCTCTGGTTTCTGACTCTATCCACTGTCCTCTCTCTCTCTCTGGTTTCAGACTCTATCCACTGTCCTCTCTCTCTCTGGTTTCAGACTCTATCCACTGTCCTCTCTCTCTCTCTGGTTTCAGACTCTATCCACTGTCCTCTCTCTCTCTGGTTTCTGACTCTATCCACTGTCCTCTCTCTCTCTGGTTTCTGACTCTATCCACTGTCCTCTCTCTCTCTGGTTTCAGACTCTATCCACTGTCCTCTCTCTCTCTGGTTTCTGACTCTATCCACTGTCCTCTCTCTCTCTGGTTTCAGACTCTATCCACTGTCCTCTCTCTCTCTGGTTTCAGACTCTATCCACTGTCCTCTCTCTCTCTGGTTTCAGACTCTATCCACTGTCTCTCTCTCTCTGGTTTCAGACTCTATCCACTGTCCTCTCTCTCTGGTTTCTGACTCTATCCACTGTCCTCTCTCTCTCTGGTTTCTGACTCTATCCACTGTCCTCTCTCTCTCTCTGGTTTCAGACTCTATCCACTGTCCTCTCTCTCTCTGGTTTCTGACTCTATCCACTGTCCTCTCTCTCTCTCTGGTTTCAGACTCTATCCACTGTCCTCTCTCTCTCTGGTTTCAGACTCTATCCACTGTCCTCTCTCTCTCTGGTTTCTGACTCTATCCACTGTCCTCTCTCTCTCTCTGGTTTCAGACTCTATCCACTGTCCTCTCTCTCTGGTTTCTGACTCTATCCACTGTCCTCTCTCTCTCTGGTTTCTGACTCTATCCACTGTCCTCTCTCTCTCTCTGGTTTCAGACTCTATCCACTGTCCTCTCTCTCTCTGGTTTCTGACTCTATCCACTGTCCTCTCTCTCTCTCTGGTTTCTGACTCTATCCACTGTCCTCTCTCTCTCTGGTTTCAGACTCTATCCACTGTCCTCTCTCTCTCTGGTTTCAGACTCTATCCACTGTCCTCTCTCTCTCTGGTTTCAGACTCTATCCACTGTCCTCTCTCTCTCTCTGGTTTCTGACTCTATCCACTGTCCTCTCTCTCTCTGGTTTCAGACTCTATCCACTGTCCTCTCTCTCTCTGGTTTCAGACTCTATCCACTGTCCTCTCTCTCTCTCTGGTTTCAGACTCTATCCACTGTCCTCTCTCTCTCTCTGGTTTCAGACTCTATCCACTGTCCTCTCTCTCTCTGGTTTCTGACTCTATCCACTGTCCTCTCTCTCTCTCTGGTTTCAGACTCTATCCACTGTCCTCTCTCTCTCTGGTTTCAGACTCTATCCACTGTCCTCTCTCTCTCTCTGGTTTCAGACTCTATCCACTGTCCTCTCTCTCTCTGGTTTCTGACTCTATCCACTGTCCTCTCTCTCTCTGGTTTCACTCTATCCACTGTCCTCTCTCTCTGGTTTCAGACTCTATCCACTGTCCTCTCTCTCTCTGGTTTCAGACTCTATCCACTGTCCTCTCTCTCTCTGGTTTCAGACTCTATCCACTGTCCTCTCTCTCTCTGGTTTCAGACTCTATCCACTGTCTCTCTCTCTCTGGTTTCAGACTCTATCCACTGTCCTCTCTCTCTCTGGTTTCAGACTCTATCCACTGTCCTCTCTCTCTCTGGTTTCTGACTCTATCCACTGTCCTCTCTCTCTCTGGTTTCAGACTCTATCCACTGTCCTCTCTCTCTGGTTTCAGACTCTATCCACTGTCCTCTCTCTCTCTGGTTTCAGACTCTATCCACTGTCCTCTCTCTCTCTGGTTTCTGACTCTATCCACTGTCCTCTCTCTCTCTGGTTTCAGACTCTATCCACTGTCCTCTCTCTCTCTGGTTTCAGACTCTATCCACTGTCCTCTCTCTCTCTGGTTTCTGACTCTATCCACTGTCCTCTCTCTCTCTCTGGTTTCTGACTCTATCCACTGTCCTCTCTCTCTCTGGTTTCAGACTCTATCCACTGTCCTCTCTCTCTCTGGTTTCTGACTCTATCCACTGTCCTCTCTCTCTCTCTGGTTTCAGACTCTATCCACTGTCCTCTCTCTCTCTCTGGTTTCTGACTCTATCCACTGTCCTCTCTCTCTCTGGTTTCAGACTCTATCCACTGTCCTCTCTCTCTCTCTGGTTTCAGACTCTATCCACTGTCCTCTCTCTCTCTCTGGTTTCTGACTCTATCCACTGTCCTCTCTCTGCATTAAAGGCACGAAAAGCCCAAAATAAATCTTAAAAAAAAAAAAAAAAAAGTGTCTGTTTTCATGAACTGCTCCTCCTTGCTCCCTCTACGCTCTGAGTCCGTCAGCTACACTCTGTTGAGCCCACACTGTTAGACCCCACGTGGGCCAAGTCTGCTCTGATTGGTCTGCCAATCCGCTCTGTCGTTATTGGTCAGTTGCTCAGCACGCTTCTCTCAAATTTCAACATGAGCTGCAGGGCTTGCCACAACGAGCCAATGGGCTTAGATCAGTGATCTCACACTGACAATGACGTCGGACTGACAAATTTTTATTGAGGGGGGCTAGAACCGAGAAAAAGCATAATATGGGACCTTTAAACATAAGATAAAAAAACGTAAATCAGTCAGAATAACAGCAAAGATTAAAATGAAAAAATATTTAAAAGTTATTTTATTAAAAGTTTAAAAGATATATACTCATTTCAAAAAGATAGATAGATAGATAGATAGAAGATAACTTAAAAAAAATTAAAAAAATTAAAATACTTGCTTAATCACCTCTGTCAAACAGTCTCCAGTCCGTCTACAAACCCCCCAATGATGAGAAAAGTCCATCCTCTCCGTCTTCTGCCGGCTCCACTTTTCTGAAAATGTGTGCTCTAACAGGCCGTTTGGAGATTTTCCCTTCATGACATCACAAAGGGCACTAGCCCCTCCCCCAGGTGGGTGACACTCCCACAGCTAGGTGTTTGTTCTGCCCTCTGAGTCTGCCTTCTCACCGTAAACAATAGGACATGGACCCCCTCACTCTGAGAGCTAACCACTGGACCACAGTGCAGCCCCCGTAGCTCTGCTTTCACTTCAGATGACATAAAGACGTTTGTACAAACCTGAACAAAGTCTGTTTGTGTGCTCTCTCTTCACTGCGTCCTAAAATCATTAACACGCGCGGCGGCGTCCTGTCGTTAAAGTTAACGTTCACACTGAAGCTGAGCTGAGCTGAATGCAGGTGAGAGGTCAGGAGGATAAGACAGAATCACTCAGGTCACCTGTCCACAGGTGAGTCACACTGTTGTTCTCTCGTTTGAAACAAAGAACATGAAGTACACACACACACAGAGACACAGAGAAACACACAGAGAAACACACACACACACACACACACACACACACACACACACACACACACACACACACACACACACACACACACACACACACACACACACACACACACACACACACACACACACACACACACACACACACACACACACACACACACACACACACACTGACCAGAGCACGTCAAAGCCGCTGTTGGCGGCGACTCTCTCGGGCATGCTCAGTGTGTGTATCGGGTCCACGATGCCCAGCGTGGGTCTGATGGCTCTGCTGGCGATACCTGAACACAGACAACCAATCACAGCTCAGAGTGACTCTGATGTCATCGTCACTCCCAGCAGCATTGTTCAGGAGTGTGAAACATGCAGTTATCACATGCAGAGAGCAGTCCTGACTCCTTTACCTGTTTTGGCTTTCAGAGGCTCGTAGTCGAAGATGGCGACCCCGGTGGTCTCGCTGCCGGTCCCTGCTGTCGTTGGAACTGAAGATTAAAGTACAATCAGAAACATGTGAGCAGGTGACCTTTGACCTGTGTGCTCTTCACTCTCACAGGAACCTTGAGCTGACGCTGACAGATAAGACAAGACGAGAGCTTCAACACGCCACCTTCCCTCCAAACACGGGTCACTCTGGTTAGCCTTCAGTCATAACATGTTCTGATTGGACGATGACATGTCACCTGACTTCTTCATTGTTCTTTGAATCACTTTCTCATTTATTAAACGTCTTTCAGCATCTTTTATTTTACCACCTGACACCTTTATTAACCAACCATCAACTGTCCTCACAGCCTTCTGACTCCGCCCCCCTCAGTCTACCATCCAGTCAGCTTTAACCTCAGCGGTTGCCATGGTGACATGAGTGTGTCCCATTACCTGCGATGAGCGGCTTCAGGGCTCCGGTGACCGGCTTCCCCTTCCCGATCGGAGCGTTGACGAAGTCCAGGAAGTCGGCGTTGGGGTGACACGCGTACAGATTGGCGGCCTTGCAGGTGTCGATCACAGAGCCGCCGCCCACCGCCACAAACACGTCGAAAGAGTTCTTTCTGGCAAACGCGATGGCCTCTTTGAAACTGGAACGCAGAAACACAGAGGCGACGTTAGCTCACTTTTCACTCCAGAACGGACCTGCAGACATCTGAACACCTGTCAGAATAAATGCTGCCTCGTTAGCCAATCAGGACGCAGACAGTGACCCGGAACCTGAAAGACCTGAAACCAAGTCAGACCAGATCGAGTTTTGTTTCTGAACAGAGTCGGATCCCCTTCAGAACACGGTCTGTATAAAAAGAATCTGTTCAGCTGGGGAAAGAACCCACCTGAGCGACCTTTGACAATTGACCTTTGACCTGGCAGTCTAAAGTGGACCTCACCTGTGTGCTTTCTGTTTCTCACCTGGTGTCGGTGGGCTCCACGCGGACGTTGTCGTAGACTTTGTAATTGACTCCGTTCTTGGCCAGAGACTCGAGGACGGCCTTCACCGGGGGGAGGAGGGACAGGTTCTTGTCCGTCATGAGGCAGACGTTCCGAGCTCCGAGGTTCTGCAGGTCCTGCAGGAGAACCGGAGAACAAGGTCACACCGATGAAGCAAAACTGTATTAATATTTATCCTCTTAAAGAACCAGGAGCAGAAACGGAACGCCAACATGGAAACAGAGGATGAAAAACTCAACCTGGGGTTTGTGTCAAAGCTGAATTCTCGTCAAAGTGCTCCAGTAAAAGTCGTCTGAACGCCGGCGTTCTCTTCGGCGTGCAACGTGTATTTCTGCTTTGTTTTAAATAAGCAACCTGCACTCAGCTCACTTTAGTCTTTTTGAGACGCCAGAAGCACTGGAGAAACGTCAGTGTTCACCGTCCTGTGCTCAGCCTGAAGATCTGCAGCTCCAGTATTTTCTTCATCCTATCGATTCATCTGCATCATCAGGTCAAAGGTCACATATCCTCCTCCTCTTCTTCAGTTTAAATAAGTCTCAGAGCTCCTCAAAACATGTGTGTGAAGTTTCTTGTTCTAAATCCACTCTGATCCTGTATTTGATCATGTCTATAAACCCCTCTATTTCAGCCCTGCTTAGAACAGGCTGTTTCTGTGTCTGTACCTTTAAATATGTAAATGAGCTGTGTCTGACCACGCCCCCTCTCTGGAAGGGCTTGGGTGTGCTCGGTCTTTCTCGCTCCATGTCCTATTGTTTACGGTGAGAAGGCAGACTCAGAGGGCAGAACAAACACCTAGCTGTGGGAGTGTCACCCACCTGGGGGAGGGGCTACTGCCCTTTGTGATGTCATGAAGGGAACATCTCCAAACGGCCTGTTAGAGCACACATTTTCTGAAAAGTGGAGCAGGCAGAAGACGGAGAGGATGGACTTTTCTCATCATTGAGGGGTTTGTAGACGGACTAGAGACACATGTTAGAGTTAGAGGAACATGGAGAAGAGGATTTATTTTGTTTGACCGAGATAACAGCTGCCAAATCAACAGCTAACTGAGCTAGCTGGAAAGCTAACGAGCAGCCTGCTAGAACAGAAACAGGTGAGACTTCAGGTGTCTGTTAATGTGGATGATAAAGAAGATGAAGGTGATGTTTGGTTACCATGCCGATCTCGCTGCTGACTCCCTCTCCGTATCGGATGTTAGAGCTCGCCATCTGAAGATCAAACAAATGAACACGAGGTTAGAAACACGTCTGTGGCTCTCGTTAGCGCCCGCTCGTTTTGTTTTCACCTCGAAGGCGTAGTCCGTCTTCCTGACGGTGCAGGTCGCAGAGCCTGAACCTGAAGACGAGAGAACTGATCAGGTGACAGAAAACAGCTGATTGTACCTGTGTGTGACTGTGTGTGTGTGTGTGTATGTGTGTCTCTGTGTGTGTGTCTGTGTGTGTGTGTGTCTGTGTCTGTGTGTCTCTGTGTGTGTGACTGTGTGTGTGTCTCTGTGTGTGTGTGTGTATGTGTGTCTCTG